ATCGGCCAAGGAGGGGCTGTCGCGAGGAGCATTAGTTCTGGGAACCAGGTCCGGGTAGGCCAATAGGGTGCCACCAACAGGACCTGCTCCTCGTCCTCCCTGACCTTGCACAGCAACTGTGCAAGAAGGCTCACTGGGGGAAACGCATACTTGCAAAGGCCCCGCGGCCAGCTGTGTGCTAGTGCGTCCATGCTGAGTGTTCCCTCGGCCAGGGAGAAGAACAACTGGCAGTGAAAGGTTTCTGGAGAGGCAAACAGGTCTACCTGAGCGGCTCCGAAACGTCTCCAAAACAGCTGGACCATCTGGGGATGGAGTCTCCATTCTCCCGGGAGCGTAGCAGACCACAGCATGCCTGGAGACCTGTTCTAGGGGCACTCCTGCCCGGAGGAACGTAAGGACTGACCACGGGGTGAAGGTTTGGCGACAGTCCAGTGTAACTTGGACCTGGTGAGTGCCGCGCTGCCACGCACACCTCGGGACTCGGCCATGAAGCCAGTGCTGGAGCGGTCTCACATGAAGCATCCCCAGTGGCGTAACTGCCGCTGCCATATTACTTTTTTGTTTCATGGAGGGCACTGCCTGCGTCTGAGTAACAAACTAAAAAAACAACAAACAAAAAAGTGCATGTGATATTAACAGAGAACTATGCTCATATTTATAATTCCAAACAATCAGTAAGCGACAGGTGCTAGGAAACGCTGTTTTGTACTCATTTATTGACGAGTCGGCTGCGGTGCGTCCGTGACTCTCCATGCCCTCCTGGGACCCAGGGACAGAGAAAGCCGCTCTCTCGTCGCTATTTTCCAGATTCTCCACCCGGCCCTCCTCTGGGGGAGGGAGAGGTGCCTTCACCATCCCCCTAAAAGCAGCTTCCTCCCTCTTGGGGTCACCCGTCCCAGGGCCTCTTGCTCTTTCGCTCACCGCCAGGTTTGACGGGGACCTGGACGGGTCGGGCGGCCTGCCTACGCCCAGCTCCACGGCGCCGCTTGCTCAACTGGTTGCGAAGCGCTAGAGGAGCGATGGTCCGCCGAGGGTTGGTTCCCTGAGGGGTTTGCCACCACTGTAACCCTCAGACCGCCCGTGCTACTGCCCGAAGTAGTCCACGCCTGGCTGCCGCCAGGACGAACACTAGATCGTGGCAGAGGCAATGGAGCTCCGCCCCCCTGAAGGAAACGGAGCCTGGCCCGCAATTCTATAGAGAAATCAGTATTGGTATCATTCATACTGGCCTTCAGTCATAATAAAGATGCCATTAAACAAATATAAAAAAATATATACTATCTTTATGTTGTTTGTACATTAATTTAAAGATTGGATGTGAAATTATTGCAATATAAAAGTATATTTAAAAACTTTAATGTTAGGTGGGATTAATTTCAGAAAAATGTGCGATTAATTAGTTTTTTTTATTTTTATTGATTGACAGCACTAATATAT